ATAGACTGTGACTGTAAAGCAGATTAGCTCTTCCCGAACAATTCCCTGTGTGCACACATTTTATGCTGAAGTATGAGCACCTTATTCTGAATTGGCTTTATCCACATCTGTATACGCTGTCTTTTCTTGCCTACCACAGACCCCCAAATAAGATCCGCACTTTGTTTTTGAAAAGGCAGGATAGAGGAAAAAAGTATTTCCCAGAGTTATGGACATGAAAAACAGGAACAAAGCCTAATCATCACCCCGCTTACCCTCACTTTGTTGCTGAAGCATAGGATACAAGTTTAACCTTTCACAGCTGGATTGTCAGCAGCTGTTGGTTGCTCAGCCAAAAGCTGAAACTGCAGTTGCTGCTGAAGGCTGGATTCCATGCATGGATCTAGGATTTTGGAAAGAGCAAAAATCAGCCTGCAGGGCTGTAAAATAAGAGGACAGAGACCAGGAATAAGTAACAGATAGCAAAACTGGTGAATAAAAGATCGTTCAACTGGTTCAAAATTAAGGCCATTAAAAGAGCAGAGAGAATTGTTAACACTAATGGAATGAAGAATGGTTTGCAGGAATTGGGTAGATTGTAATGGACCATTAAGTCATTGACTCCATCAACACTGCCTGAATAGAAGTGCCATTCCAGCTGCCAGGCAGTTGGTTTTATACTTTGTGTGAAACAGGAGTCAAACTGGTGTATGCTGAACCTTTGGATCTGCCTTGCTAGATTCTTTCCCTCCCCCCATGAAGCTGCTGGAGGGAATGGAAGGAAGAGAAGCAGCAACCATCTTACAGTGTCTTCATGCTTCTTTTCTAGGCAACCCCCCAGCTTCCCCCCTTAAGGCATGTGCCCCAGTTCTGGAAAACTAATTTTGGGGGAAAAGATGAGAGTGGTATGCAAGTAAATATGGTAGTTATTTCTGAAAGGGGGTTATGTTAATTTGGAATATGGAGTGTTCTTCCAGAGCAAGAGCAGCCATATTGCTAATTCTTTTTGAACAGCAAATGAGAACTATCTGTTTCAACATATCCCTCCCCCACTTTGTCTAGTCCAGCCCATAGTGCAGAAAAGAAGACAGTTGAAAAAGATCTGGTTATTATGTGCTGATTATTATTATTATTATTATTATTATTATTATTATTTGTTGTTGTTGTTGTTGTTGTTGTTGTTTATTATCATTGTTAATGTTATTGTGTGCTGTTTATTATAATACATTTATTGGAAATGACTGGGGATTTAGAGATTTTCAGGAAGAGGAGT